TACGATAGTATAAAAGTACCTACACTGATTATTGCCCAACGATAATGTAAATTTATCGAAAAGTCGTCATACATGTATTTGTATTTTTGTTTACTCCGGACCTGTAATTTCAATTAAAATATTTAATCCAAAGAAATATGCAGACATCTTATTCTTGTTACCTTGAAATTGTTCCACATGTCTTTCCTTTGAAATAAGTCGCAAGTAGAATGAATTGAATAGCAACTTTGATTTGTTGTTATTAGTTGTGTAAATATGTATGTATAATAGAGTGAAAAGGGTTAAATCCATTTTTCTGCTTTCTTCTTAAAATAAAGTCTCGCTGTCAAACTATTGAAATAAAATTTCACAAATGCCAATCATAAAACTTTTTTTCCACCTTCAAAGACCGTTATAGAATTACTTCACATAATAATAATAATAAACCTTATACGCTTAACCAAAAGATATGTGTGTAGGCGTGTCAATTCAAGGGTGTTGTAGGCGCCTAAGCTGCCACAAAGACCTTTAAACATTACCTTTCGAACCTTTGAGGGTCATGACCTTTTTTATTTGCACTACAACAGATTTCTTTTGCTTAGCGTGCTGCGCTAGAGGCAGGAAAAAATGTTGTCATATAAATGACGTTGACGGGCTTGTGAGTATGTATAGGCATGTGCACGAGCTGAGCTACCTTTGTTTCGCTTTTACGGAATTTTACAACTCTTACGTTGATGAAAAATTATTTGTAACCAAAAATGATGTCACACACGCACACATACATATGCTCGATTTGTGGCGTTCATCAAGCAAGGAAATGACTTCTTATATAATACATGTCGATTAGCGGCGCACAAATCGCCAATCCTACACAAAATTGCCAACAAAAATTCCTAATTTATAAATAGATGTTATGCACATGAGTGTAGTTAAAAAAATATTTATAAAATAGTACTATTATATAGGTTTATATATATATAAACTATCAGGATGAAGCGGCAAATTGAAATCTGGGCGACTGTCTGTTTGTCCCTTCGTTCGACGGTGCAAGTTGTAACTTAAGTAAGAGTTGAGATATTTTGATGAAACTTGATACATATATATTATTTCTTGGCACGATAAGAAGATTGATATTGTAGATGGGCGTAATCGGACAATGCCATTTATCAAAAACGAATAAATTGCCATAACTAAGCTCACCAAAAAGATACAAGACTGTTATTTGGAATAACAAATCGATTAGGGTGGGGCATCTGCAGTTTAAAATTTTCTTGAAGTGGGCGTGGTCCTCCCTCTAATATGTTTAATGTGCATATCTCTTAAACCGATAAAGCTATAATAACAAAATTCACTCAGGATAAAAGAATAATTTTTAGCACCCTTACAAACAGTACAAAAATGAGTGAAATTGGATGATACTACCGGCTACTCCCCATATAACAGTTTTGATTACAACTACTAAAAATGCGAGTACTCATTAAATAAAAAAGTCGAAGCACCACCCACCTTTCCGTATATCTGGCTCCACTTGACTGATTTCAAGCAAATTTGGTAAGTAACATTATCCTAACAGGCCTACGTTACAGTTGAAAAATGTACTGCAACCACTTCCACTCTCTATATAACACAACTTTAAATTCCATCTCAATTTTCAGTATACAAATCAAAGCTACATGAATTTATTGGGATAAAGCTGTGCAAAAATAGTGCCTCTAAGGTATGCCATCTCGCGGTGAAAAATTATCAATATCGGATCAAACTGTTCAAGGCCACACATACAGAATATGTGTATCGGTCAATCTGTGAGATGTATAACTCAAATTAGGAGAAAATCGTTACCTGATAATAGTATGTCTGTACGTCAAAAATGGGTTGAATCGGGTTAATACTTCCTTTAGCCCCATATACCTGAAATAAAGATTTTCGAACTTCCAGGTGACTTTATTCCGCAAATATCGGCCAATATGTGCGTTATCTTATTAAAATTGTGAGCGCGTATTTTTCTAATAACGGTGCATCTGTGTGCCCAAAATGGATAAAATCGGGTGGAAACTTGCTCCAGCCCCCATATAACTATTACTCCTTATATATTGGGGATGGTTTGTGAGGTACATGAAAGAAACCCAAAACGCATTTTTTCCGTTAGCGTAATAATGCCAAAACTAGATTAAATATGAATTATATAGATTAATAATGAATGTTGAATTGTATCGAAATATTTTTTAATATAAAGTTTTGCCAACACCTGAAGGTATTTAGCCGGCTTTGATCCTTGCAAGTTGCAAAAGTATAACATGTCCGGTTACACCCGAAATTAGACCTTCCTTACTTGTTACTTTTACATATTATAACTAAAGAGAGTGTCAATTAATAGACAAACATATTTAAAAAATTTTATATATGCGATATTTTTGAATAATACTTATTTTCAATATATTCTGTATTTAAGAACCACCCTATTTAAAACTCGTATACATACCTATATGAGCATGCCTGATTACAAATGTAGCCTTGAAAAGAGGGAAGTCTTTTGTTGCTATGTAAAAATCTCTACCTTTAATACTTTGCAGATATTAATTCAAGCATTTATATATCTCCCGGATATTAGTAGCATGCGGTGGAAGACTTCAAAAAACTCAGCTTGTGGCAGCCAGCAATTGCGGTGGATTTGGAAAATCATATTTTCGCTTATATATGCACACGCATGCATAAAAACTCATCTTCCACCTTACAAGTTGTTCAAGTCCATTGTTCATTTTAAATGCATGAAAACAATTGTTGCGTATACGCCATGCCATCACACTGCCACTCCAGCAGAAATACACTTGGTGTTGTTCATTTAAAGAGAAACAAATTGCAGTTATTTCCCTGTTTTATGTTTGCATTTACCTTTATTTGCCCATATTTCCGTCATTATTTGATTTGTTTTCATTTTGCTTACTCATTTCTCGTGTGTGTGTGAATGTGTGAATGTTTGCTTCTGCCTGCAGCCAGCTTTTGGAAATCATATTTATAATTGAGTAGCGTTGTTGTATTTTATGCCATCCTCAGCATCAGTGTACCGTTATGTTCGCAATTCTCCTTTTTGCAGGACATACAACCCAACATCCAGAGGCAGTTATTAGCTTCCCTGTTTCTCCACCAATAATTTGCTTACTCACTTTCAGCACACAAATTTTCAGCCACAACTAATCAATTTTAAAAGCTCCCATACAGCAAAGCATTGGCATTTTATTATTGAATTGTGTCGGGGGCCAGCCAATGCAGCTGTGTTGTGTATGAATTTCATCTTGGAGGCAATCAAGCGTTACGTTGTTGTTGGTAAATTGACTTCTCGCTTTGATTCGTTTTTCGTTGAGTTTATGTGAATGTCAGTGAGAGTTCATAAAAAATTTGTAAATTTTTAAATCGCTTAATTGCCTCCAAAGCTGCACGGTTGTTTTACACATGTAAAGGGTATTTTTTAGACATGTGGTTTTTAAGTAGAAATAAAACCCATATAACTTGTTTCATATTATGGGCAAAAATCTAACTTTATTATAAAAAAAGGGGTTTGCCATTATGTTTTAAAAATGATTTCGGTCAAGTGACTCGAAAAAATTTCAGCGGAGAGACTCAATTTTCGACCACTTTTTGTAGCAATTGGGGCCGTATGTCAGCAGTAACGCGATGAGTATTCTCTTCCAAGGCTTCAATCGAATCGGGTTTATCTGCATAGACAAGCAACATAACCCCAAAAAAAAAAAATTCATCACACGATCTTGGAGGCCACACCACAGGCCCACGATGCGAGATAATACGCTGTCTTATTGGAATCAAAGGTTGTTCACAATAACATCCCGCAGTTCAAGCACAAAAAAGTCATTAATCGTGACTGTATAGCGTTCCTCAATGACTGTAACATTATGGCCGGTTTCATTTTTGAAGAAATATGGACTAATATGGCTTTTCAACAATTGTTTGTGGATAATCATCACTCGAAGTGCGGCTGTTTTGTTTATTAATGTATCCATTCAACCAAAAGTGACCTTCATCGCTGAACAAAATTTTCTTGGTTAAATCGGGATTGGTTGCCAACTCTTTTTGAGCCCGTTCGCCGAACGTTGTTTCGGAGTTAATCTATTCCATATGAAATGGCAAACCAAACTGCAACCAACTCCAAAAAAGGTATTGCTTCGTTGAAAACTACAGTCTAAAAAAGCACCCGTTACATACACATACTTTTATTCATATATGAATTCGAAACTGTGCTAAATTGAACTGGTGCTCGAAAGCTGCTTTCAAATTCATTGATGGAGGTCAGCAATCAGGCTGGAATCATCACTTTTTGTGAACAGAAGGATATTTTACACATGATTCCTGCATCCAAGATACAGATTAGCTTTTTCGTTTTCAAAATATGCGTAATATTAATAACGAACTCATATGAAGTATATTTTTTCATAGTAATTAAATGGGTCGAGAAACTGAAAATATTAGCTGTAACATCCCTCAAACTAATTATTTCTTTATAATAAATACATTGTTCCATTTTCCGAACTAGATTAAAACCAAGAGTAAAAAGCATCAATCCTGAACCTTCATTAGTTAGAAGATAACTTTAATTATTTGAGAGAAGGTCCTAATCTTGGGTATTTAGTGTATTTGTGATGTTATAAAAATGCATAAACGCTTTTTTTAATAAAGGTTTAAGTAAATTGAACGTATCTCATTAGTCAAATAAAAGAATGGCAATAAACGAAAGGTAAATGTTTAATGTTTAGAGGCGTAATACCGCAATCTAACAAACTACCTGAGGTAGAACCATGCAATACTCATAACACAGGTACACTATTAAGCCCCATAAATTGTAAGAAATAATAGGACCGTGAACATGTACATATATGGTATACTTTTAATTAGTAGATCCACGGACAGGTACAAATAGAGGTAAAAAGAATATCAAGGTCCGATAGAATCTACCTGCTCCACTTGCAATCTCATCTTTACGCCGACTGGTATAAATACGGCGAAAATTTCTTATCATCATCATAATATTATCAGTTGCTGACTCTGAAACATCGACGCTCTGAACATCTTACAATTATGGACTTATCCACGAAAATCAGTATGAATTTAGAAAACATGAACGAATTGACAGAAAGCCCACTTGATTTAAGGCGGTTTCCGGCAACCTCAAATGGAAGTTTTGGACAAGGAGCCGAATTTAGAAATCACCAACAAACAGGGAACGAGCTATCATCCGTAGCTGATCGACAATTAAAACGCCGACGAAATTTTGAAATGAAATTCATCAGAGAAGCAAAAAAACTAAAACTGGACGAAACTATAACACCAGTGCAAAAAGAGACACCGCGACCTATAGTAGTAATACCAAAGGTACAGACACCACCAAACATTAACATCCTTGATAGCCTTGTGCAACTACTACTAACTATGAGCAAAGCGCCGGTGTCCACTAACCTTAAATCAGTATTACCCTATCCAATGAGTATCGACATAGTTGAGAACTCTTATAGAAAAATACCAGCTATTAAAAAGGAGCCAGCATTTAAAGACGATTTAGTCACATCGAATACCTTAACAACAGGGAACTCGCTAATCGAGACATCATCGTCTTCGTTATTACAACCAGTGCTCGTTAGAACCCATAACCCACATATCAGTGAGGGCATCAATATTAAGCAGGAACCGACCGATCAGGAAAACATATCTCCCAGTGCAGCAAATGAGGAGTCGTCTGATGTCCAAATAGGACCACATGGCACACGCGTATCCAAAGTGGATTTGATTAAAATAAATGTGACGGAAGCGTCAATTGCTACGCGGCAGCTTATGAGCTTTATCTTCGACCGTCAAACTCTTGCGACCCACACACTCAGTGGCAAACCCTCGCCAGCATTTCTGAACCGTAACCGAAGGTGAATAGATACTGAAGGTATGATGCAATATATTATCTTAGTCGTAGAAGCTGAATGCAATCATGATGAAGTGTAGGATACAAAGCCATAAGTCATGAGCATCAAAGCTAATTTAAATAAATTATTGTAGTACTTTAAATGTATATATACATACGATGTGTTGTTGATTAATAAAAATAACAATTTGTAAAAATAAAATATTGCTTCTCATAATTATTCGGTTGTAGTCAAAAATACATTTATTTAGAGGAACTCCGATTGTATAGAGATAATCGAATTAGTACTCTACCTTTCGGTCACTATACATATCTCAGCAAATTAGTTGTTGTTAGTAAGTTGAGTCATTGGCTAATATCCCAACCATTATTCCCCCTTCTTTTGGAATTCGGCAGCAACTACTCGTCGAATGTGAACTACAGCCATATCTTCTTTCCAAATGAAACAACATTAAATTCCATTAAATTCATTCGCATTGAAACAATTAACTAAGCTTAGTTTAAACAGAGCTTTTAAGGTCTGGCAACTTTCATCTAAAAATATTCAAAATCGAATTATAATTTTTTTGGCCTCTACATACCGTATATGACGTATATGAGGATTTTAGTGCCTATCATTACATTGAAGCTATCTGTAAATTAATGAAATTAAGTGGATATATTTTTTCGAATATGATATATTATTTCCATGAATGAATAAAAGCGATGCGGATATATACCAAATAATTCCGCGTCTATTTTTGTTCGGAAAAACTAGGTCTAAACCAACTCTATTCATATTCAACGCTAAACCACACCGATATTTACGGCAAAAACTCAGCCATACACACTGGGGTCCACATATTCTGTATGCGGGGCCTTGAACAGTTTTGGTCTAATGTTGACCATTTTTCGAAGCGAGATGGCTTCACGCACATATTCTAATTTTGGCACCACCTCCTATAGGGCCATCTTGTACCAACCTGTGGTCTCTGACCCATTCAGTTATGGACTTATCGCGCTTTAAGTAGTTTTTAAAATAACCGTTATATGGGAAGTGAACGGTGTTATCACATAATTACAGCTACTATGCAAATTTAGATGTTATTGCTTGAATGGATTAAAAGATATATACATTAAACCAATTTTCAAAATTTTTAACCACGAATTCCCCTCTCTATTGCGATTCGTAGTACTAAATTAGTCGATTAGATAGAAAAATAATGCAGCAGATCATTATTATTACAATATTTCCAAAGTCTAGTCCTATTTGTTATACCAGTTAAATTTTAAACATCATCAATTGCATACACAGAGTAAAAAATTATAATTAGAGAAATTCTTAGCAGACACATGAAAGCCTTCCATAACACGGAAACGATCCATAGTAAGTTCAGGTCAAATGTTCAATGGGGTAATAGTGCGCATTGTAAATAGAATCCGAAGAATTAACGACCATAATCCCGCCTTGTGCCGCTGCAATATCTTAAGTCATAATTCTGACACATTTAAGTAATATGTTAACGAACGGCGTCATAAGTTACTAAATCGGTTATATTCAATTACACGAGTTATAATGAGATCCCATTTTTATACCCTGAACACGATATATTAAGCTTTCCACGATGTTTGCAACACCTAATAGGTACAATATTCTAATAAATTATCCAGATCGGATGACTATAGCATCTAGCTGCCATACAAATCGACCAATCAAAATCAAGTTCTTATATGGAAACTTTTCTATTTGTGAAGGATATTCCAGCTTCGCTGCAAAAGCTTCAATGTAATGATAGGCACTAAAATCCTCATATACGTCATATACGGTATGTAGAGGCCAAAAAAATTATAATTCGATTTTGAATATTTTTAGATGAAAGTTGCCAGACCTTAAAAGCTCTGTTTAAACTAAGCTTGGTTAATTGTTTCAATGCGAATGAATTTAATGGAATTTAATGTTGTTTTATTTGGAAAGAAGATATGGCTGTAGTTCACATTCGACGAGTAGTTGCTGCCGAATTCCAAAAGAAGGGGGAATAATGGTTGGGATATTAGCCAATGACTCAACTTACTAACAACAACTAATTTGCTGAGATATGTATAGTGACCGAAAGGTAGAGTACTAATTCGATTATCTCTATACAATCGGAGTTCCTCTAAATAAATGTATTTTTGACTACAACCGAATAATTATGAGAAGCAATATTTTATTTTTACAAATTGTTATTTTTATTAATCAACAACACATCGTATGTATATATACATTTAAAGTACTACAATAATTTATTTAAATTAGCTTTGGGTAAGCTCCTTCTTAGTTTGTTAGATTGCGGTATTACGCCTCTAAACATTAAACATTTACCTTTCGTTTATTGCCATTCTTTTATTTGACTAATGAAATGCGTTCAACTTACTTAATCCTTTATTAAAAAAGGTTTGTCAATTTTTACAACAAAGCAATTCATTACCGCATTTTTAAAGTTATACGAAATTGCTAAAAGCAAATAGAGCACTAAGATTGACCAAATGATTAAGTGATTGACTAACTGACTGCTCCTGTTTTCACCATTTTGATATGACAACAATATTCATTTCGGATTTATTTGCTTTGATTTCAATGCGGAATATTTGACTTGAAATATATATTATTTTTAATACCGCTCAAAAATTATTTCTTATTTAAGAAGGTCATTCAGTATTCTAAAGTTCAAGATGTCTGAAAAACATCACTTCTGACTTTGATGGCGCTATTAAAATTCACCCACGTCTTCGATATTTTTATCGTCTACATAGTCACTTAAGGGATCCCAGAAAGAGAATGAGAGCCTCAGTCGCCATACTTTCACAAATAAAATGAAGTTATTAGATTGTAAATATTTAATAGTCTGCGTAAAAGATCCTTCTTTTTTCAATATTTTTTAGAATTGTTAACATTTTTCCTTTTTTCTGATTGTACCTTAATTAAAATATTAAATATGTTTTGTCTTCCACAAATTGATCATAGGATTACCCAGAAATACTATTGGCTTTTCCTTTTATTTAAAAAATTGTATTCTTATTGACTTCTGACGGGATGAAGGAGAAGCAAAGTGAAAACATAAACCATGAGACGATTGATTGGGCAAGGGATTCTCCCCAGATACCGAATATGAAAACTTCTGGCTGACATTATGTCAAAAATTTCTATCGATTTTATATCTTTAATAAATTAAGTGTGCAATTTGCATTGAGAAATTAATGTTGTCTGGTGACAAGAAGGATGAAATCGCCTTAATAAGTTATTGGTTTGCTTTATCCTGTTTTACAGTATTCAGTTTATCGGTAAATGTGTGTCATATTAATAATTGCACATTAGCATTCTGCAGTTAAATTTCTCATGAACTAGGAGAGTATAAAATATTCGCCTGTACTTAAGCTTAGCCCTTCTTCGTTCTTGTATTTATTGATAGACGAATAACGGCCGCCATAATAGTGCTCTAAATTATTTTATCTGATTTTATAAAAGACAAGGAAGTAATGCTCAATATTCTCAGAAAAAATTAGCAATTGATAGTAAAGAATTCTCCTAAGCCTGTTACCTCATGCTTCATGTTAACTTTCCATATAGTTGCCCTTGTCTGATTTTTGTATATTTTGAAATGCGCAAATGAATTGCATTGTAGTATATCGGGATAATCACATTTTTAAAAAAAGAATCATTAAAAAAGTTGAACACACATATTTGGTCAAATAAAGTGATAATAATGAACGAGAGGCTAGTGTTTAATTCTTGGAGGCTTAATAACGCAATCTAACAAACTACCTGAGATAGAACAATGCAATAACTTACAATACAGGTACAACATTAAACCCATAAACTTTGACAAATAATAAGTCTGTGGACGCGTACATATGTACTTTTAATTAGTAGATCCCCGCACAGGTACAAAAAAGAGGTAAAAATAATATAAAGTTCCAAAACTTAAGCCTAACAATGACTAGTATAAATATGCCAAAATTTTCTTCTCAACATCATTATTTTACGCTTTGAGCAAGCTAAAATTATGGATTTATCAGCCAGCAATAGGATGCATTTAGGAAATGTGAATGAATCGACAGTATCGACAAGATCAATTTTAAATGTTAAATGCTGAATTGGAATACATGATTTGACCGAATTAAGAAATCGCCAACAAACACGGAACAAGCGATCATAAAAAAAAACAGAGAATAAGTACATTAACATTGTTGATACACTTATGCGCTATCTACGTATGAAAAAGGGTCCAGTCTCTAATGGTTTTATTTAAGTGTTACCCTATCCTATGAGTATGATGTTACCTATCCAAATAATACCACCTATTAAAAATGCAGAATCTATTAAGAAGTATTTAGACGCATTGAATACCTGTACCAGGGGTGTCGTTCATCGAGACATCATCGTCTAAGTCAATACAACCAGTGATTGTTAGGGCCATACTTCACATGTTAATGAGGACGTCATTAAACAGGAACCGACCGATCATGAAAACATATATCCCAATGTTTCTAATATAGATCACCAAAATGTAACTCCACCATGAGGTGTCTGATGTCCAAATAGTATCAGATGTCACACGCATACCCAAAGAGGATTTGGCCAAAATGAAAGGGACGGAAGTGTCAATTATCAAATGGCAGCATATAAGCTTTATCTTCGACCGAGAAACTCTTGCGACGCACACACTTAGTGGCAAACCTTCACCAGCTTTGAACCGTGATCGCCCACTGATAGCGTAATAGACCCACTGAATTGGGCTGATACAATATATCATCTTAAATCCGAAACGCAATTACAATGAAATGTGCCGATACCGCCAAAGCCATTAAAAGGAGGAGCTTAACCAAAGCTAATTTAAATAAATTATTGTAATACCTTAGATATTTATATATGATATAATATATTATATGTAATTGTAGTTATTTTAGTTGTAGTTGTTTAGTGAATAAAATATTAAAATTTCGAAAAAGATATGTGCTTGTATTGCTTCTTAGTAGATGGATTTACTACTGAAGTCAAGTCGAAAGAATAAATTTGAAACGATGTATAATGAGTCGAGATAATAGAAGAAATGTGTCTTCTTATTGGCATTGCTTCCCCCAAAATGGTAATACTAATTTATACTTAAAGTTTCGCCAGTGGTCGAAATTCGACCAATAGAAATTATAGTTAATTAACAATGTTAATAGTATTTAAATTACGTTGTAGAATTT